GGTAAAAACAAAATTTGTAATTTAGAACAACAATATGAAAATGATTTGAATTAATTACTATCTTTAATCATAATGTTTTTGTTTCTATTTTTTGTTTTATTTCAAATAAAATTAGCAATTAATATAAGCCTTGTAATATATATACAGTCAGACTCCCTAAAAGCTACCCCCTAAGTGCACGCCCTATGAAACACCTCCCTAAATGCACGTCTTCCCTGGGCCTAACTAATATTACATCTATAGATTTTTACCTCCCTAAATGCTATACCTCACTAAGTGCGTCAGAAAAGTTATGGGGTCAAAATTCGGACAGCTCACTACAACAATACTCTAATGTATAATGTCCAGAACACTAAAACTACTTTAACCAAACCCTAATATTGTAATGCTTCGATTGAGGCGTGGAAAGACTTGGTTCGAGTAACCAGGGTTAATTGGATCGGTAGAGATAGTGTTGGACTCAGATGAGACCAATCGGAAATGTGGTACAAGTATAGTTGGCGGTACTGTATGTAGTCACATCAAATCTGTGCCACAATTATAGATGATGTAGAATTCAACAATGGAAATTTTAACAATAAAAATGATTAGTAATCATTGTATTTCCTTTTTTTGAATTCTACCATCAAATCGTTACTGTTCAACGAATATGCACAAATTTCAAAAAAAATCCCGTAACTTGATAGCTATAAAAAATATGATAGCTATAGAAAATATTTATAAATTTAGAATTTTTTTTTGCGAATTTATGCATATTTCATTGATTATTGATTTGATTGTCTTTAGGGTGCACACACTATATAATTAAGTGTGGCACAATTATGTCCAACCAGTAATAGATGAATATATTGTAAAATTCATATAGATTGGTTGTGTTACGGCTATTAGGCCGTTTGAATTTAAAGATTCGTTTAACGTTCTTTTTTTCATATTTGCTTGGAGGGGGGGAGGGGAAAAATTAAACAAACATAAAAATTAAAAGAACCTAAATTAGGTTAAAATTGTACCTAATTTAGGTTCGTTTTAACTTAATTTTTTTAAGTATCCTAATTTTGTTTTTTATTCAAATATAATCAATTTAGTTTATTAAAAATTATAGTAATGATGGTTTTCTTTTTTACTTGTAGCACTTATTGAATAAATTTTTTTGGGCTCTTTTATGCCATGTTTTTCCATTTTCTTTACAAAATGCACATAGAGGATATATAGTTTTCCATTCAGCCTTTAATTTATCTGAAGGCTCTATAAGATTCTCTGACTCTCCGCACCAATAATAAATATCTAACTTTTTAAGACGCCATGAAAAATATGTTGCCTCAATAGGAGAATTACAAGTAATATTTAATCTAACACTTAAATACTTTGAGAGTTCATGATCTTCTGGTAGCAATTGTGATCCACACGTATAACATAAACCATCAAGAGCAGCTTGAAGTTGGATTTCCTCATTCTCTGTTAAAGCAGAATTACTATATACACATCGTATCTTGTTACAATGTTCATATGATACTACACATCTAATTTTTGTGTTAATAAATTGACCTAATTTTTTTTTTATTCAGGTCTCTACTAACAGAATTATTCATTGCTGATGGGCAAAATTTTTCTGAGGTTGGCTGATCATAAACATTATCAAATTCTTATAATGATTATTATCTAATAAAGATTAAATAATCTAAATAATTATATTTGATATTATATACAGTAGTTTAAATTTAAAACTTACTATTTTCTAATGGTTCAGGATCAGGAATAAATGATAAACTTTAAAAATCATCATGTGGCATATGAACTTTTTTACATGCTTTGCAATCAAATTTACCACATTTTATTATCTTATAATTAATAAATTAGATCAATAAACTAATTATTAAATTATAATACTTTATAGTAGTAATAATACCTGAAATATATAATTTCTAATATGGCAATAATTTTTTACAAAATTTTGATATAAAGTTTGCTTTTGTAATTGATTCATTGTCGTCATTAATTTATCTAATTCTGGATTAACTTTAGTCATTATCTTTAATAATATAAAAGTTAGTTTTAATATAGAATAATTAAATAATAAATAAATAAATAAATAAATAAATAAATAAATAAATAAATAAATAAATAAATAAATAAATAAATA